TACCACCTCTGCTGGGCTTCTCTTCCTCGGGAACACGGACAGCAGCCTCTGGAGCAGTTGGAGATGTCCGCGCAGTCACTCACTCAACCGCTGACAACGAGGAGGGGCCCGTCTATGTGTCCTCCAGTAAGCACGCGTCATTGTGTGCCGACAAGACATCAATGGAAACATGGAATGCCAGTGTAAGTCAACTATCTGAATTATAGCACTTACGTGTTTTTCAGATTCTCATGAGCAGTCGTTGCCTTCCTTTCAGTAGTTTTTTTTGGCGGATTGCATTCTATCATTCAGCCTCCCATGAAACCCACGTATAGGCAAGTCCCCAGACAGGGTATGTGAGGAAACCAACCCAGTTTTTAAAAAAGTCCTCCCGTCGCCATTTCAGAATTTAACTCGCGAAGAAAATGCTAGATCTTAGTAAATTGATTGGGTATATTTAAGACTAGGTTTTGTTTGCCAATAACGTCTTGGGTGTGCAAAAAAGAGCCACGATGGACATAAATTGCAGGTAAGCCTGCAATTACACCTTTCCTAAAAAAACATTTGAAGTGAAGATTCCGCTATAGTTGTACCTGATTCTACGTAACCAAATTGGTGTTGCTTCATTTTGTAGCCGAAAGCCCTTGTTTTTTATAGCGTGTCTGAGCGCCAGCGGCTCGCCTTATGCTTTAAAACATCGCATTCCACTTTTTTAGGCCTTAATTCGTTGCAGCCCCTATAGGTTCAAAGTTAAGTGCTTCACATTTATCTTGTTGACAGCGGCGTACGACCAGCCGCTCGTCGGATTCAAAGTAAGCTATGTGGGCGGACCCACTGAAGGCAGGAGGCTGATCGAGCATGCATTCTTTTGAAAATCCTTCTTTCCGCCTTTGTATTATATAGTTCCTGAGGACGAGGTCGTCTGCGATTAGGCTTCCTCCTGCTAAAGCAATTTGGCCTACTTCCACCACAATTCCTAGCCCTCCCGATGGATTTCAAGTATTCCTGGGCTTGTCGTACATATGCCTCTGCTCTTATTGTACACGTTTGCGCTACAGAAGACAGTGAGACATTCAACACCGTCTTTTCATACAGACGAGTCATGGGAAAAGGGAGGGGGAAGATAGGAGATGGCTGGTTAATCGGCTTGAGGGGGGTTGGTAGGGCCCGTCCGGAAGCGAAGGGGGGAGGATAGGGAGGGCTCAAAAGAGTGCATGTAGTTAATCCACTGTTTCATGCGGGGCTCGAGAGTGAGCCCCAAAGCAGCACGGAACGAGTGAGTTCTGTTTGCGATCGGTTAGCGTCCTCAATTAATGTTAATTTTTTGATCTAAACCGGTAAGGAAACGAGCCCGTGGCTCAATGGTTAGAGCGTTGTACTTCTGATCAAAAGGTCACGGGTTCAAGCCTCAGGTGGTGCACCACCTAGGGCTGGGAATGACTGGTTGATGACGGCTAACGAGCCGGAAATGGTCATTCCAGTCTCCATTTCCTTTGCTGGCAATTTATATCTGAATATCCTGTTTCTCGAATCATTGGTGACACTTTCACCATATCAACGCTAGTCAGGTAATGCACGGTAATAGGATCCCCGTCTTAATGCAGGTGGTTTATGTGGGGGATTCTATGAAACGAAAAAATATTCTTGTGTGCTAATCCCAACCTAAACTTAGCCCTAACCGTGATGTTCGTCGTAACTACCTTTTAAATTAGCGCCAGATCTCTAAATAGGGAAGACGGATGATTCCCATTCTCAGGTCTTGCTGCAGGTGGTAAAGAAAACCTCCAAGACAAAGCCTGTAACAATGTTCAGAGCCTTAGACACCATCACTTCGTATGGTCTCAATTCGTTTATACATGCGGCAGTTTAATATGCTACCTTCTGCTACTTCCAACTGCCTTTCTAAAGCCACATCTCCACCTTAGTTGCAAACTTCGTGTCTTTCCACAATCCAATTCGAAATTGCCTACGTCAGGTCATGTTTTTTTGCCATAATAAGACAAGAAAATTGACATGATATAATTTTAAGTCAACCGTCACCGCATACTAAAGGCAGGCTGTATTAGTTACAGTAACCTAATATGCAAATAGCACGTTTTTTCAAAGCCACCAATACTGCCAGGTACCTAATTTCTGCCAGTCCATTTTTTTAATCCGACAGGTTGTTAGGCATGATATACTCGTAGTCACATCTGTCCCGCTTATCATAAGGTTTAAGTTGAAGGCGTACACGGGAAATCAACCAACTATTGGACACAGGTCAGGTAGGCACGCGCTCTTTTGACAAGATCGGAGGTATCACGTGGTACGCTGTTTGCCGCCGTTGTCTTTCTGTTTATGCAATGGCCACTCTCGGATTGGTTTTGCCAGCTCCCCACGGATGAATCATGGGTTAAAAACTAGGGCACACAGTAGTCGTCGTTGCTTAGCACAAACATTCTTCCGCCGCCTGGAGAGTTTATTAATGCGTGGTCTTTCTGTGCTATAGCACCAGAGACTAGAGGTGACCAGCCAGTGTTATAACCCTCCACATTAACAATGTTTTACTTGCACGAACACAGTAAAGTGTGGTTTTTTGAACTGTTAAAAGGTTTACTTAATCAAGCATCAGCGGTCCGCAGACGGAAAAAAATTCTTAGTCAGTTAATGACAGTGGCAGACTAAAGAGTACTTACTGAAATTTTGGGAAAGTTCAGCTAGAAATCGCAGCGAGTTAATCCTGCCTCGCGAGAATGCACCAACTTGCAGAACATCAGAACCAGTCTCGATCATTGCTTATGATGTTGATCTGCTTCATAATCGCCTGATCTTCCTTCTTATGACCGCCAAATATGTCTCGAAGTGGAGGAGAATCTGCATGCTCATCCCTCTAGCATAACTCTTCGAGGGATCTTTTCCGTTGTCCATGAACGGTTGCGTTTTTTAACAGAAGCTGTCTCTGTAAAGAATGCTTTAGTCGACTCGAGACATTTTGCCTAAAGCATGCATTGAAGTTGACGAGGATTGTGTAGGAGAGTGTTGATTTTGCCATGTAGCGGTCGAGAGAGTATAATGAAAGCTCTTGCTTTGGATTAAACCTTTGGCTTTTCCTGTGACACCTAATAAGGGAATTTTCCGACCAACCTCTGAATCTATTTCAGATTCAAATGTTCTGCTTATAGAAGCTTACCCCTATATGGCACCAAGTCGGTCACTGTCGGTAAATTTAAGCGCATATCATGGGAACGTAGCCGTCCGAACCCTCCTTATCTTAACGCCGAAAATGTGACACGCTGCAGAAACCGAAACAGGATTTTGGATCATCGACGTATGTTATATACCGTCCACGTTCGTCTGCATTAATGCATCTCTAGCTGCACTGCGTTAAACAAATCCAAAATTTTTCTGATTTCTGTAAGATAAGTTTGGTTTTTTGTGAAGGCGTGTCCTGAGTGACAGTATGTGTGCCAAAAAGGGATGCAATCGTTGGGACAAAAACGCTATTCGTCTGACGTTTCGGATTCCGTCGTGGATCCAACATCAGAGACAGTAGCAGAAACGGGCAATTCATTCATAGGGGGTTGCAGTGTTTAGAGGATACAGCCGCAATGCTACTGCATGTCTGTGACAATTAACGGTCATTGAACAATCAAAGCAGAAGCGGGTAATTATCCTCAATAGGCGGAGTCGTTAATTGTCATGCGGTAGCATAGTGACTGTATCCTATAAGTACTTTAACTCCTTGTATATGAATTGTCTGTTTATGCTCCTGTCTCTGGTGATGAATCAGTGACGAAATCTGAAATGCCTGGCGAATAAAGTTCCTGCCCCAGGGGTCGCATCTGCTTCTTCTCAATTACTTCCCAAAACTCGCATCTTCGCTTATATTGGTAGTAGCTATGCCAGTTGGCTCTTGCTTGGCTGTAGCCGCTTGAGTTGGTGATTCTTCGAAGGTTAGGGCCGCTTGTCGGAGTTTACCGAATGTAGACTATTAGTTGTGAGTTAAAATACGCCAGTAAGCACTGGTCTGTGCTTT